AATGACATGACCAAACCGTGAGAACAGCGCGGTGGAAGAGAATCTCAGCATCCCTCCTACAGACTTATAAAAACAAAAGGACCAGACTGATCCTTTGTTTTACTGACTTGATAAATCAATAAAAATGGATTATTTAATATTGCCATATAGTGTGTATCCTTAAATGGACACCACCTTCTTTCAAATGTAAACGAGTTTTGCTTGGTTTTCTACAAAGGCAGGAAAACTGTACACTGTTAGAAGGCATCTAATCCTCCCATCTGCTGTTTCCTTAGAAAAATATTTACTTTTTAACATCTGTACTGCATTTCCACAGTTCAAACACACACATAGCTCCTGGAATGTACATAGAATTTAGCAAATTTTTAACTAAGTTTTATTAGTAATTGTATAGTTTTCTTGACAAGGAGAGGATCAGACTTTTTCAGGAGGATTACCTCTGCTCAACTCATTTCAAGCAGCTCTTGAATAAAACAGTTCATTAGTTCATGAAAAGGAAAAACTCCAGGGAACTGCTGGGGAAGGAAGAGAAAAGAAGAGAGTGCCACAGTAATTAGGTTTTCAGATTGTCCCTTATCCTCCTGAATGCAGGTACGCACACACGTGCCCTTTTTCCCCTTAGGTAAAGCATTTAGGGAAGTTCATTGCACATTTTCCCCAGGGAATCAGTGTTCCAGAGATTAAAGTTCTAAACAGGCCATCATTTCCTAGAAAAATATTAAAATTTCCCACTTCCTTATAGTACATTACTATTGCTATAGCAGTGAAAGGGCAGCTCTCTCCCCTTTGTGAGCATTTAAGCAGCATCCTTTCAGATGTTCTCAAAATTCATTTTCCTGACATTTTAGCCTCCCATGGCTGATACTGAAAAACCAAAGGATCTCCACACACCAGGAATCATTCCTGCCTGCCCGGGTGTGTGGGCAGCTGGAGTGCAGCAGATCCAGTGACTATACTTTACCAGGGATCAGGGAAAGGATTGGTGGGAGTGAGGATAAGAAGTGGGGAAAAACTGGAAGGGGCTGCAATTGTTCACTGGCAGTTGCTAACCAGAGGAAAACCTCTTTTGATCTAGACCTAGCACAGGAGAGTACAGAGCATCCCAGGGCCATACCAACTCACGAGAGGCCAGATCATCACCAGGACTGACAGCACCATACAGCTTCTTTGTGGCTTTACACCACATGGCTCACGGGCAGTGGGGTTCACAGCAGCACAGCCTTCACCCTCTTCTCCCGTTGCCTTCTGTCTGCTCTGCGCTCACACCAAAAGCATTCAGATAGTCCATAGGTCTCCAGCCAGACTGTCTAAACTGACAACTGAGATGCCAATGAATACAGTTCTGGTGATAATTCTCTGTGCTTTGTCACTGTCTCATTCCAAATCGGCTTGAGACCACCAAGAAACAGCTGATCATCATCAGAAACATCATCAGGTCACTACCTTCCTGGTATGGATGAGTGACCTTGAATTATGTATTCACAGCAGACAGTACGACTGGAAAAATCAGGAGATGCCAGAGGAACATGTTGTAGCCTCTACAAAGTCTCCAATTTTCACTGTTAAAGGGCATATATTTTGAAAATTGGATTTTCTCACAGATCTGTTGTGATTTTCCAAAAAATAATGTTTTGCAATATCCTTAAATTGCCACATACCAATTGTTGTTATTACTGTGGATTACAAATGAAATTCTGGCCTTTTATCTGCTGAGGGGGCTTAGTTTCAACCCACAGTTTCAGAAACGAGTCTCAATTTTGAGCACCATGAAAGACTCCTTCATTTAGATATCATGATTTAAAACGGACTGGTAAATTGAGAACTGAGCTATAACACAATAGAAAAATCTTATACGAATAATGATTTGCATATCAGATTACTAAATGAAAATATACCAAACTATCATTTATTGAAGTAAACAGTCTATCTGCCCTGTTTCTGGAAACATTTTGCTTAAGTGAAAAATTTAAACCTGGGCAGATAATCAGGATAAAGTATTTGAACACTTAAATCCTGCTCGGAGCCTTCAAAGTAGGTGTTAAGTGGTGCATTAAATTTGTGCTGTTTCTTCTGAGCATGGTGAATTTGCTCTTCTCTAAATAATGAGGAAAACATTTTACAATCATTTGAATCCATGAATAAATGTAATATATTGAAATTTCTAAAGTACAACCACTAAATGTTTTTGAACATAAGCCAAATGAGTGGAATATCCAGGACTGAAATTATTTGACTGACCACAGAAAGATAATATATAATTAAAATGACATCTGCAGCACTAACCGATGGGATAAGAGAAAGTGACATCACAGATCTCATATAAACTGCAAGTGTATTATTAGATCTAAACCTGGCTGTAAAATTACTATCTGCCCATGGGATTATCTTTAGGCATTCAGAACCATTGTTTCATTTACTGATAGAACAGGGATGATAACAGGCTGACTTAGAATGTGACTTAGGCCTGTCACATTGTTTTTTGGCCTTTCTTTATTCTTTCTTCACATCTTTTGCAGATGAGAGTAAGACACTTCAGCTGAATCATTTTCATGGAGCTTTTCATTGTTTTACAGTTTGTTCCAAAGGCTTTTAATTTGTTTTTCGCACCCCCCCAAAGGAAAAAAAAAACCCAACAAAATTTTAATGGTGATAAAAATCAATGAGGAGTAAAAGATGCACACAATATAACAAGACTTGTGTGCCACCAACCTAAAATCAAAATCTTGAGTGTGTAACAAGACAGGCAGTGAAAAGGGGGAAAAAAAAAAAGGAAGCTCCAAACTTTCCAGTCACTTTTGAAAGCTGTGCTAATGATCATGAACTGCAAAGGAGACTTAACGTACTCTCAGAAATCTGGTCCTAAGAGTCTAACTCCCAACATTTGAAATAGTTCCCATGTGTCAATTTTGCACACTAGGCAAAAGCCCAGGAGAAGGCAGGACCACAGCCAGTCATTAACTTCTGCATACACTGTTAAGGCAAACTTGTATTTTCCTCCACACTGTCCTGATATTGGGCAGCTACTGCTACGTGTTCTCTCTTACAGCACCTCCCAACATCCTTTCCAACATAACCTTAAACCTCTGCTCCATCAACCACTGAAACATGCAAGCAGGCTGCATGAGCACAGAACACCACCTCCTGCTCTTGTCATTATAACCTTGCTTTCCTTTGTGTTTTCTCCTAACCATATCCACCTGCTGTGCTTTATCTTAGCCTGCAGTTTGAAGAAGTGACCTTCTCTAATATAGCGAAGGATTTAGCCCATAATCGATGCCTTTGGTGCTACTGCCACAGAAATACATTACATTTTATTAACAGTAGTTAATTCATTAACTACTTTTAATCCACATTAGACTGTTTCATTGTCCCTTTTATCCTTTTATAACTGATACACAGAAGAGACTTTTCATTCAGACCCCTTCAGCATAAATCTTTGATTCAAAACTCTCCATACATACAGCCACACCAGTATGCCATTAAAAGTTCACACTGGATCTACCTACTAGAAATGAGGTGTCTGCAAGCAGCTTAGATACACCACCGCTGTTGGAAAATACTCCTCCAGCACTCAGCCTGGGCCAGGAACCATGTTTATGTATCATGAATGGTTTGCGTCCAGTCAGTGGTGCTTACAATGTGCTTACAATGCTTTTGGATGTAAACAAGGACAGAGACAAAGACCTAAAGGCTAGCGGGGGCAAAGACTCATAAAGGGAGGCTGGAGGAAAGACAAGAAGCATATGGTCACAAAGCATGACACATACGAAAATGAGACTTCACTGCAGAAAAAAAATCAAAGACAAAGAGCAGAATACACAACACTGCAAAGAGGAGCAGTATCTTGGAAAATCGATTTTTAAATGTGTCCTGGATGTAATGTAGGGTAAACTAAAATCTGTTTTTTCCTGGAAGGTGACAGCTGTGGTGGCTAAGCTGTGAGAAAAAGTTGGGAGGACCCATTCTCACCTGTGCTGTTACCCCATCAGAATTGGTCTTCATCTCAAAGTGGTAAGAAACATCTCTTACATTTCAATATTAGCAGCTTCTTAATGTGTATGTTGTGGCATGTTTCATGTCAATTGATAGGCTAAACTTGTCTCAGTTACGTTAAAAATGTAATTCTCTGATAGTCTTTGTTTCTCCCTACACATCCATAACTAAGCAGTTAACTTATTTTTGGGATATTTTGTGCAGTCTGCGGTAAAGAACGGTCCAAAAGGACAAGCAGACCTAAAGAACTTTTGTGTCATAGAACTGAAGAACATGCCTATGTTTCAAATGCTTTGTGTACCAAGTATAGAGAGACTTTCATAAAAATACATACGCCTTCAGATACTTCATAAACCAACAGTGATTAAAATAAAGCAAAACAGAATGGTCTTATGTCCAGAAGAAAGAGAAATACATGGGTAACAAATAATTTGCTAATAATGCATACCCATTAGTTTGCCTGCTTCAGGTAGAATTTACTACCTTTCTCTACAGCCATCCCAATATCAAGTGTATGCTCTTAACCAGACATTCAGGTTCTTTCCATTTTCAAAAGCAGTAGGAAGTGTCACAGGACTATATAAAACCTTGCTCAGCTCCTAGGTAATGACTGGGTTGAAACACTCAGCGGAGGCCCCCTTTTCTTGTCATTAAAGTAACAGAGACAAAACACCTGACTTTAAGATGAGAAAAATTTCTACAGGGTGAATCCTTCATTCTGCATCTAGAAACTAGGTTGAAAAGTCATCCCAGATGCAACATTTTCTGCATCTTTATTTGAACAGCAATACTAAGAGAAGCAATCTTTCTTGTAATGTGTTAACAATTCTGCATCAACACCAAGCCTGGCTGATGGTACATAAAGCAAAAAATGAATAAAATCTTCACTAAACTGCTTTGAATGTTCAAACAGACTGAGTTTGCTTTTTAAACTGAGGCTTATGCCACTTCCAGTTTTTCCTCAGAACATTTGCTTATCCATATATTTATCACAGAAATAGCCTTACCTCAGCTGCATCTTGCTGGTCTCTGAAGGCAATTGCATTTTTTACAGTTTGGATAAAAAATCCATTCAGTTCCTTCTGTTTCTTGTTTGGCAAAATCCGGAGCAATGGGATCATTATGAATGGGAAAGAAACTGCAAGAGATTTTAAAGAAGAAAACACTGAATTAGACTGTAAAGGAACATAATATCCCCTTCCTTTCATTAATATAAAACTCATTAAGTCGGATGTGTTATTTCTGTGAAACTTGTTTTTTCCTCT